CAAGAAATATTAAAAGTTACAACATAAAAGGGAAAATATAGTGGAAAAAATTAGTACGAAATGATTCGATACCAAAAAAATTATAAATGTAAGAAACATACCTTAATATATCAAAAAACAATTTTTACCCCCAATTACCCCCTAACTAACAGAAGATGTATTTAAAAATCTAAATATGGCAATGTAATTATTTCACTACTATTTGTATAAAAAAGGTAGTATACAGCAGTTAGGTATGAATTATTCGTGAAAAAGAATAAAACAACATAGTAATAATACTTTTTTTAAAATTTCATTCTAGCCGAATTCCCGTTCTTTTTAAGGGGTGAAACAAAAGAAAGTAGTCAATAAATTATACTGAGCAACAATACAAGGTCAGAAACAAAACTTAAAGAAAAATTTTTTGCAGTTTATCTCAACAAAATAAAAAATTAACTATATTCAGTATCTTTTGTCATGATACTTTTGATTGAGGCCAATTCTTGTCAGTCAAAATTTATCAGACTCAAGCTACTTTCTACAGTACTAATCTTTATCATGTTGCAGTAAAACCTCTTTTCACAGTATTTTATTAAAACTGCACAATATTGGTTTAATTTTAATAGGTATGAGGTAAATTACTACAATACAATAGGTACCAAATATGCTGACATAATATTTTTTTGCAATAACTTTACGTATTATATTAAATACTTATGTTAAGAATAATCGAATTTAATTTTTATTAAAAATATATGTTGAGTGGGAAGAAGTAAAAATGTAAATACGAAAATAAAGTTACAAGAAATATTAAAAGTTACAACATAAAAGGGAAAATATAGTGGAAAAAATTAGTACGAAATGATTCGATACCAAAAAAATTATAAATGTAAGAAACATACCTTAATATATCAAAAAACAATTTTTACCCCCAATTACCCCCTAACTAACAGAAGATGTATTTAAAAATCTAAATATGGCAATGTAATTATTTCACTACTATTTGTATAAAAAAGGTAGTATACAGCAGTTAGGTATGAATTATTCGTGAAAAAGAATAAAACAACATAGTAATAATACTTTTTTTAAAATTTCATTCTAGCCGAATTCCCGTTCTTTTTAAGGGGTGAAACAAAAGAAAGTAGTCAATAAATTATACTGAGCAACAATACAAGGTCAGAAACAAAACTTAAAGAAAAATTTTTTGCAGTTTATCTCAACAAAATAAAAAATTAACTATATTCAGTATCTTTTGTCATGATACTTTTGATTGAGGCCAATTCTTGTCAGTCAAAATTTATCAGACTCAAGCTACTTTCTACAGTACTAATCTTTATCATGTTGCAGTAAAACCTCTTTTCACAGTATTTTATTAAAACTGCACAATATTGGTTTAATTTTAATAGGTATGAGGTAAATTACTACAATACAATAGGTACCAAATATGCTGACATAATATTTTTTTGCAATAACTTTACGTATTATATTAAATACTTATGTTAAGAATAATCGAATTTAATTTTTATTAAAAATATATGTTGAGTGGGAAGAAGTAAAAATGTAAATACGAAAATAAAGTTACAAGAAATATTAAAAGTTACAACATAAAAGGGAAAATATAGTGGAAAAAATTAGTACGAAAATGATTCGATACCAAAAAAATTATAAATGTAAGAAACATACCTTAATATATCAAAAAACAATTTTTACCCCCAATTACCCCCTAACTAACAGAAGATGTATTTAAAAATCTAAATATGGCAATGTAATTATTTCACTACTATTTGTATAAAAAAGGTAGTATACAGCAGTTAGGTATGAATTATTCGTGAAAAAGAATAAAACAACATAGTAATAATACTTTTTTTAAAATTTCATTCTAGCCGAATTCCCGTTCTTTTTAAGGGGTGAAACAAAAGAAAGTAGTCAATAAATTATACTGAGCAACAATACAAGGTCAGAAACAAAACTTAAAGAAAAATTTTTTGCAGTTTATCTCAACAAAATAAAAAATTAACTATATTCAGTATCTTTTGTCATGATACTTTTGATTGAGGCCAATTCTTGTCAGTCAAAATTTATCAGACTCAAGCTACTTTCTACAGTACTAATCTTTATCATGTTGCAGTAAAACCTCTTTTCACAGTATTTTATTAAAACTGCACAATATTGGTTTAATTTTAATAGGTATGAGGTAAATTACTACAATACAATAGGTACCAAATATGCTGACATAATTTGATTTATATTTAAACTACAACAACTACCATAACACCAATAGTGCCGATTACCACAACTAATAAAGCATCATTGGCGTCAATAATAGTATGACGATTTTTTACATTTCTCTGGAACGAATTGTAATGCCATTTCTCTATTAATTTTGCTTTTTAGTATGAAGCTTGTTTTTTATTTTATTTGGTATGTAATACCAAAATTAGCAAAGCATCATAGGAGTCACTAATAAAGCGGTGAATTTTTTACGGTTCCCTTAGATCATTGTTTCTCAACGGGGGCGATACCGGGGCGGTAGGAGTATGATGAGGAGCGGTGAACTTGTTTTGGGCAGCAGGGGGCGGTGGGTTTGTTTTGGGAGGTAGGTTTGTTTTGGGCGGTAAGGGGGGACTGAGCATATTTTGCCATTCAAATTTTTAAAGTCCCAAATAAAATTATTAAATTACTATCGATTTAATTAATGAAATTAATCTAAAATTAATGTTAAAAGAAAGATTAAAACAATGCATTAAATTAAGATTATCTGATTCACCATTTATACCAGCAATAAAACGAACTTATGTGATCTATATTCTCGAATTCAAACCAGTGCAACGCATGAATCAGTGGTTTCTGCCTCTGACTCATACGAGCCATTTGGCAAAAATTGAAATGCATGTGCTTTCAGTATGAATGTTTGGTTTGACCCATGTTTTGTATGAGGTTTTTCATTAGCTTCCTCTTAGCTTTCCTCCCAGTTTCGATTCAATTTCACTTTTATTTGGCTAGGAACGTGCGAGAACAAGTTCTTTATCGTAAGTTATTTATTAATTTGGCAAAATAGTTTATTTTCTTTTACCGTTTCTATTTTGCTGCCTCCAACAATGTCGGTTAGCAAAAAGAATTGTGTCTATACAGTGTCACGTACTTGAAGTTCGAATTTGTTCAATCGCCGTTGAACTCTCAACTATCCATGTGTTTACTTTGATAGAAAGTTTTGTCTAATAAAGCGATGAATGAAGCAAATTCTGTTTGTAACAGAATTTGCAAAGAATTCATCAGCCCAAACTAAATAAAGATCTGTCGTTTTTCACCAACATCCAACACAAGTTTCTGATTTCACCTTCGTTCCCAGGCTTACTAGCAACCTCATCCCAAAAATGCCCATCCCAAAATAGTTTGATAGCCTCTTATAATACATCAAAATTAAATGCTAAATCTGGGAATCTTTCATATCATCAGCGAAGAGTTGATACTGTTGGCTGTCAAGGAAGTTTTAGAAACAGTTTTACACTATCCAGCTGCATCCAATGTAATCAAAAATATCCCATTAAGCAATGATTAAGTGCAGCGATGAAATGATGAGAAGGTTAAAGACATTGAAGTTTCTTTATGCAAACTTTTGATAGCCAACGTATTTTCCCTTCAAGTTTATGAGTCAATCTTGCCAAGTAATGAGGTTTTACTGTTGGCGTATGTCTGGTTTGTTAAAGAAAGAAAAATTATTCAAGACATGCTTTTTGCAAGATGCTTGTTTGTAGAAACCAAATGTGAATCTATTTAGAATACTACCAAAGATTATTTTAAACAGAAAAACATTCCTCTTGCAATTATTATCTCTGTTGACACTGATGAAACTCCTGCAATAGTGGGTCGACATCGTGGGTGTATCGCCCTTTTGAAGAGGGATTGACCAGATATTTTAGCTGTCCGCTGCGTATTTAGTTGGAAAAAATCCCAGCGGTCGTTTGCATCAGTCATTGCAATATGTCGAGCTCGGCTGTTACAAAAATTCGCAGTAATGCTCTCAACGATCGATTATTCGCAAGCTGTGTTAAAAAAAATACAAACAACGAATTCAATCGCTTGCTACTACACGCTGAGATTCGCTGGCTTTCCTAAGGCACCTGTCTCAATAGGTTTTAGAATCTTTTTGACTTTGTACTTGAGTTCCTCGAAGACAGAAATGTAGTTTTGAAAGACAGATTGCTAGAGTGTAATATAGAAGTTGCATACATGATCGATTTATTTTCAGAATTTAATGGTGTCAATTTACAACTTTAAGGTCACAAGCCTCAATTTGATCACTACAAAATAAGTTATTTCTACCTTTTTAAAAAATCATTTTGGAGAAACAAAATTTTGGTTGGAATGGATTTAGCCATTTTCCAATCTTATCGGATCTTAAAAAGAATAGTGAAATTCCCTCTGATTATACACAAGATTATTGCTAACACCATGAATCTTTACACATGGACTTTTCCGACAGTTATAAATATGTTTTGTCCCTGGAAGTCCCTCAATGGGTTATGAATTTTTTCTGAATATTGAAACAGCAGAGGTTCAGATTCAGGAGGAATCAGTCGAACTTTCAAGGTACGAAACTTTGAAATGGTGATCATCTCACAGAATTTTGGCTTCAAGGTAACACCACTTGCCTGGACTATGGACTACCGTTAAAAAAGTTTAAATTGTCTTCCTCCTACCTTGGCGAACAAAGATTTAGTGCTGTGACGGATTAAAAAAAAAAAAAAACGAGGGAACTTGTGTCTTCATCTCACTAAAAATATTGAACCGAATGTTAAGAAACTGGTTCTGAACCATCAAGCACAATCATTCCACTTACAAAGTTACTTGATTGTTTCGTTGATAATAATTTTTTGAGTGAAAAAATTGTTTTTGGGTGTTGTTTTCATTATCTAATTAAGAATAAATTACTCTTTTTGAGTAAAGGTTTCTTTGCAGCATTTTTTTTATAATACTATATTTTGATAATAGCAAATAGACTGCGATTACCTGCCGGGAGAAAAATATCGAGTTAACGTGCACATTAATTTTTTTAAAAAAACCAAGCAAATTTAACTCCTACAAAAATTGCTTAAAAATGTTGCCTCTTATAATTCAGCACCCCCTCCAACCCCCTTGCTTCAAATAGCTGGATTTTCTCAAAGGGGGCGTTTAATTTTTTTTACTTCTTAGGGGGACGGCAACGTTAAAAAGGTTGAGAATCTATGCCTTAGACAAATAAACGAATGAGTTTTTTTTTCCAAATAATTTTACTCTTTAGTAGATATATTGTTGACTCCCGGTGGCTGAGTGGTAGTGCCTCGCACTCCAGTGCCACAAGTCCGGGATTCGATCCTCGGGCCAGGCAAGGTTGACTCAGCCTTTCATCCCTTCAGTGGGTCGATAAATGAGTACCAAGCATGCTTGGGAACTAAAAAACTGGGGGTTCCGCGTTCGGTTGACCACCTGACCGGCTCTGTTCCTGCACCCCAGAGCCCAAGGTCAAGAAAACTGAGATGGGCACAGTCGGCCTTGGCGCTCTATGAGCTGTCGTGCCACTGAGTTTAGTTTAGTAGATATATTGTTTACATTTTACCTCAACTAATATCTGTCGCAAAAAATTAATTAAGCATCATTGGCAACCATAATAAATTAGTTAAGGTATACGCTTCTGCTAAAATAAATTAATACAATAATTTCATTAATTTTGCTTTTTGATACATAGCTTATATTTTTTCATTTCAATTAGTACCTGTTACTGCAATTAATCAAACATCATTGGCGTTCAACGATAGTATAGTGAATTTTTACTCTTCACTTAAACAAAATAGTATTATCTTCAGTTTAATTTTGCTTTTCAGTACATATCTTATTTACTTATTTCAATTACCGTGAACTTTGAGTCATTTGGCTTCATGGAAATATGTTTTAAAAGCACTATTAAGAACAATATAAAAACGTTGTTTTAGATAATTTTAGGAATGCTAATGTAGTGACGTAGTTTGTCTATTGATTATTGAGTTTTTGAGTTATAACGAATAAAAAAATAACAAAACATTAAAAAACATGCAATGAACTTTCTTTTTTATCATGAGAGATATAAGCTAGCAAACGTCACTGATGTCGTCTTTAAAATAGTTTTTGAAACGGTATCGTCTGCTGATTTAATTGTATCAATGGCTAGTTCAAAACCATGCAGAAAATTCTATTTTTCAAGCTCTCTCCCGAACGATATATTTAAATTTTGAAAACAGTTTTTAGGATTGGGGGTAAAATTACCCATTTTAATCACTGATCAAATCTCTGGACGCTGGTAAAAACAGTTCTATAGTTATAACAGAGATACACAGACACACACACACGATAACTCTTAATTTTTTATTATTGATTTTTATAAAGGCAGTCCTTGAACATGCATATCATATATATTGCTTTAAAATTAAAATATTATAAGTTCAGACTATTCAACAAATATAAAAAAACAAAAACAATCGTAACATGATTACGAATTAGGCCATGAAAATTGATTATAAATTTTTAGAGATTAATAATCACTAATAAGTGATAAGCTCATAATTGAATAAACTGCTGTAATTATCTATTGCCTAATTATCTAGAAATACTGTTTTATTTAACTGTTGCATCGGTCAGCTGTTTAGATCCCTTGCATCGGTTCATAAATATATGCATTTTTCGCATATGTATATCAGCTTTCTTGGCCATATCTCTTAGTAAGTCTGAATGTTGATGTTTAACTCCATCTACAAGTTCTTTATAGGATGAATAAATATAAAAACAATTCACGGCTCCTAAAAATAGGTGGGGGATAAATTTTAACTTGACTTTAATGATGTTCCTTGCATCAACTTTTGAATCAGAATCTTTTAGCCTAACTTCGATTTCAGGAGCAAGCTTGATGACTTCTAGTGGTATTTCTGGCGCTGCCAAAGAAAGCTGGATCAGTTGGTTTCGATATTCCAGTTTAGTGACTTCCATGCCGACGGAATGAACTCCTCTCAATGATCTGTTACACATAGAGAAAAAAATGTTTGGTTGTCAAGAATGCTATCTTTACAAACTCTGTTTTTGGCATTTTGAACAATGAAGAAATAGAAGGTAAGTAAGTAGGTATGTAAATAAATAAATAATTTGATTAATGAATAAATAAAATAAAATTAAATATGAAAAAAAATTATAAAATCAAAAAATAAATAAAAAAAAGATAAAAGGAAAACAAAAATAAATAAAAAAGTAAAATAAGAAAAAAATTAAGAAGTAAAAATCAAATAAAAAATAAAATACGAACTGAAAATAATATAAAAAAAAATAAATAAAATGAAAAAAATAAAATAAAAATAGATAAAAAATGAAAGAAAAGATTGAATGAAAAATTAATATAAAAAGTCAGCAAGCACAAGCTTGAGCGAAGTACGTCAAAGCATTTGAAATAGGAGGGCATGAAAAGTATTAGATTTTTCTTGGATTAATACATAATATAAAATAAATAAATAATAATATAAAAGAAAATAAAAAAAATGAAATACAAAATAAAAAAAAATGAAAAAAAATAAATAAAAAGCCCAATAAAAAGCTAATATAAAATGTAAGCAAGCTTAAGCTTATGGGAAGTGCGTCAGCGCATTTGAAATAGGAGTGCACGAAAAGTAATTATCTCAGCCCATAGCACATGGATCTTTTTTTAAAAGAAAAAAAAGGAAAGAAAGACGTGTGAACGGTATATGCTCTCGCTTTAGAGAAAACGTTTAAGGTATAATAAGCACACAAAAAATCATGGATATCAGTTAATAGAACATTTGTTAATCAATCCTATCACATTTAGTAATCAGGCTTAATACCTAATCAGATTTTTACGTAATAAGTGCCAATATTAATGGCATTAACTGTTGACATTATATATGCTAATTAAACAGTGTTAACTATCACTCAAGTTCACTATAAACCATGTTCACTATAACGGGGTTTGACTGTAGTATTCTTTTAAAAAAGAAATGTATTTTTAAAATTTTTGTTCCTTAAGAAATATTTCTTATTAACTTTTTTTAAGTTTTAGATTTGCTATTTATAATTACATAATATAAAATGATGCAGACATTTATGCACCCAATTATTTAAAAATAGTCCAACCATTATTCAATAAAATAATAGAAAATAATAAGTAATTAATCAAAATTATATTTTGCTGGAAATTATCTTAAGATTAACGAATTTCACAGTTGTTTGCAAATTTTTTTCGTTTGATTTTCTTTATAATTTCAGAGATATAGTAAAACTCGAAGAAAGTAAAAATAATATTTAGAGGCTTAAATTTTCTTCCATCTAAACTGTTCTCACAATTTTTACCATATGAACGGAAAAATTACCAAATGAATGGTATAAGTTGGTTTTATTAACCAGAACTATGTCTTTTTTTTTTTTTTACCAGAAATGCCATTACCATACAGTACGGTAATTTTACCGGAATTTCTTTCACCGTGTTTCAGTTCACTATTGGATCCTTTTCGATAAAAACCAAGAAATGAATGATGTGTCGTAATCATCACCGTGAACATACGTTTTGAAAGATTTTAGTAAAAAAAAAAAGTAAAAAAATGTTCGGGGTCACTGAAAGCGAGTGAAAACGAATACGAAATTAGAATCTTACGAATTACTACGAGATAGACGGGACTGAAACTTGAAAACTTGTTTTTAACTCTTAGCTCAAGTGAATTACAGTGTTTTAAATTTTTTAAAAAAAATGGAGATCTTACCGAAAGACAATTTTAATTATTTTGAAAATACTTAATCTTTCAGAGTTTTGCTTGTATGCAATAGATTAATAATTCTTACCTATCGTACCATTCCTTAGCTGCTTCAGTTTTGGAAAACTTGAAAATTTTGCACAATTGCGTCACATTTCCTCGTAATTTGGGATTACTCTGAATACTCGACAAAACAGCAGTGGTGAATATTTTCGTGTCTTCTTGATAATTTGACAAAACCTTTTCAACCTTCTTTGCTATGTTAACATCCAATCTAAATCCATTTGGAAAAATCTGCTTTATACTGAATTCCAAATCTTCAGTTTCTTGAATCCATTTCTCAATTTTCGCGAATAATTTCGTGTCTTCTTCGTTCGCTTTTAAAATCTCACGCATTGTTATTTTGTCGTATGAAATATCTGCAAAAGCTGCTACTAATCCCATGTAGGCGAAGTGAGGCAAGCATTTGAAGAATATTAGAGATGCCACTCCCAGAGCTCTAGAAACACCAAAAGCCTGAATTGTTATCATGTGTGAAATTTTATTGTCAAATATGGAATCAATGTTGTAAACTAAATCCAGAATGGAGCCGATTAATCGGCTAGTGGTCACGATGGTAAATCTTCTATCCAACTCACATGCGCTAGAGTCCAGGACCCCAATAAGCTCTTTCCGTTTTGCAAACCATTTTGCGAAACTTTCTGTCAGCCTTTCACTTGATTGGCGTAAGTCAGGAATTCTATTATCAAGTTCATTTAAATCATCTCTTGCAAAGTGGTGATAGTTGTCATAAAAATTCGCGAAGAGGCTTGCAAAATGGATTATAAAATCTGTACTTCCTTCGTCAAATGGATTAAAGTTATCCAACTCCTGTTGATCTACCTGATTGATGCGTTCTTCTATTCTTAAAACCTAGGAAAAAATTCATAATCGTATTACTAAAAACAGACCTTAACAACTTGGAAAGAGAACAAATAATATCACATTCGTTAGTTTTAGTTCTACGAGTATAATAAAGAATTTCTTCAGCTTCGAAATATGAATGAAAAAAAGAAAGAACACAGAAATACAGAAAAGAATTGCAAATAAGTCAAAACAAGTGAAAAAGGAAAACAAAACAAAAGGGGTTGATAAATATGGAAAGGAACAAAAGAAGAAATAAAAGAAGAGACTGAAGAAAAGGTGCGATGGGGTAAAGGAGTAAGGGAACGATCATAGACATACCTTATTTTAATACTGTTTTTATTAACTTCTTTTCCTATTATGGGTTTGGTTTGTCAATTTTTTATAAAATTTACTCCTTCATGTAAATTCATTCGAATTCGGTACTCGTTTTATAGATTTCGTTTTATGTTTTGTTCTGTTTTTTTCTTTGCATTTTATTTTCTATTTTTTACGTGATCTTAATTACTTATTCTATTCTATTTTGCTCCAAAATTTTTTTTGAGTGCTCTTCATTCTATTGTACTGATATATTTTGATTTGGCTAAATTGATACAATGTTAGAAAGCGCTTCTTTTTGCGGATATAGTCGTGTGAGCTAATGAAGAAATTTTTTTTCTTACCAGATTTTTTAAAATTTTTTTAAAAATCGTTTCGTCCTCATCTTTTTTCCTTATTCTGCAATATTTCCCTCTTATTTAGTGTAAAATGAGTAAAAAGTATTTTATTAATTTTTAGAATATATTGCTTATATAAGTTTTATTATTTTCGCCATCAAATATTTTTTCAATAAATATAAAATTTTCGTTCTTCAAAAAGAAGAATTAAAAACTATGAGGGACAAAAAACTGTGAAAATGGACATTATCAAAAATGAAAATAAATAAATAGGCAAACATCATGAATACTGGCGAGTCGTTAACAAGGAAAGAGCTTTTCAAATTATCAAAACCTGTTTCGTTGCCGGTATAAACTGAGAGAAGGTGCAAAACAATTTAACATACAGATTTTATGAAACTGTTTTTTATAATTTTAATCACATCTTTTTATGATTTTTCTATTATTTTTTTCATTTGCTTATAATAATTGCCCCTTCAATTGGAAATACCTTTTTTAATTCTTTTTTGAAAAGTATTCGGAAAATATGTATTAAGTGTGGGAATAATGAAACACCCTGCATTCTGCCATGGCATCTAAGGAATTGCCAGGGGTCAAAACTGTTAAACATAATTTTAGAAGAAGAATTTTTAAAAACATCATTCGAAGAATTATTTGTTTTTTAGAAGAGTTATTAGAGTTATTTGATGAACATCATTAGAGAATTTGTTATTTGTTTTATTAAACAGGTAAAAATATATTTTAGATACAAAACAAAATGCTATAGAGTGGTAAAATAAGCTATTGATATGTAGTTTAAAATAATGAAGAGTGCTGTAGAGAGATAATGTAGAGTGTATTTTGAAATAATGTAGTTTAAAATAATGTAATGTAGATTGATTTTGGTCGAATTTTGCATTTTGCCATATAAAATTACATTCTTTAAAATTATGCAACAATCATGTGTCTTACAATTCAAACATTTTCAAATATTATAAAAAGTGTAATAAAAAGATAAAAATAATGAAATAATAAAAAATAATAAAAAATAAATTTTTGTCTGGCATACTCTTTGGATAAACAAATTTTATAATTGTGCGCAAAAATTTTTCAGTTTGCTTCAAAAGTACTAGAGATATGGTGAAAAAGTAAAAAGTAAAATTAACATTTAAGTGACCTTAAGTATGAATCGCTTGCCTAACCATACTATTGGGACCATATTTCTCAGTTTGCAGCTATCCCTTACATTTTGACAGTCAGAAATTTGAATTCACTGAAAACATGGCATGTTTATTCAGAGAAAGTGTAATTTTGTATCTGATTTCGTAAATTAGACTATATTCTGCGCTAATTATTTGAGTTCATTATATTTGAGATCACTTTTTCAAACCATTAAGGTTGAGTTCTAGAATGTGAAGATCCAGTCATTAAATCAAAAGTTATTCAGAGTGGTCCGTGTCCCCCCCCCCTTTAAACTATTATATTATTCCTATTTGCTACAATCTCAATATGAGGATAAGTTAAACCCTATTGCTTATTTAACTTCTTGAATTTTCTTTGCGTGATGATATGGTTCAACTTGAACAAAAAAAAAAACTTCATTTTTTTATTATGTTGCAGCAACAATTTTGCAAATTATGGTTCAAAGATATTGTCATTATGTTTCAAACTTTTACCTATTTTTTGAATGTTTAATCAAATCTATTCTCTTTTCTAAACAGACGCAAAATCTTAACAATCGTGTTAAAAATTTCATTTTTCTAAAATTCATATTAATTATATTTTGCTCTAAAATAATACATTTTAATCAACCAAGGACTTTAAATGATTGTAAAAAGTAAGTTAGAAATACATACCAGGTCTCTTTGAGGATTATTATTTTCACCTTCCATTCTGATGTACTGATCCACTCTCATGTAAAGAATACCTTTACCAAGTGGCAATTATTTTATGAAACTTATCTATAATAACCTATCAGAATTCAGTATTTTATTGGAAGAAAGAAACAATGGAAATCCTATCTCATAAACTAAAAGAAAATTATTATTTATCTGATAATTTTTAGTTTAGTTACATTAAAAAAACAGTGAATAGATAATATAAAAAATTGTGTGATTTTTAAAAATTTTTATTCTTATTAAATTGTTTAAAAATATTTTAGTATAGCACACAGGACGAAAACGATTGAAATCAAATGATTAAACACAGCTCTAGATCAATGATTCTCAACCTTTTTTTTTGTTGCGGCACACTTTTAACGATTTCGAAATTTGACGGCACACAAAGAAAACAAATTATATTAAAAGTTGTTTAATTACCTATTTTACACTATGTTAAATAGTTCGTGATGATAATTGTGAATGTGAAATAAAATAATATGTACTACAGAAGCACATTTATTAAGGGATTAATTATTTCTTTCGACCAATTTCTTATTAGTTCGAAACAGTTATTTATTTTTTTGCTAGTTATTAATTGTTAGCTTCTTTTCTATAATTATTAACTGTTAGTTTTTTTTTACATTAACTGTTATTTTTTGTGATTTCTTGCTAAATAGTTTTTTTTGTTAATTATTAATTGTTAGCTTAATTTTTGTTAGTTATCCTTCGTTAATTTGTTTTTTATATATTATATACTTTTCTTTAATTTAAACTTTACTCATAATAAAAAAAGCATCATAATTTTTATTGTATCATTTCTAATATTTGGCTGTATATTTTAAGAATTTAGCGGAACAAAAGTGCCGCGGCACAGTGGTTGAGAATCACTGCTCTAGATATATAAACGCGGTTCTGACGAATTGTCTTTTTAACCACTTATTTAAATAACTCCAGTAAAATAATATGTGAGTTGTTCAGTTTAATTGGGATTCAGGAGAAAAAATCCTAAAGTCTTTATTCTTTAAATTTCAATGTAGGTATAATTTTGTTAAAATTTTTATTCATTTATTTAAATTTTTTAAAGAAATTTGTAGCTGACACTCTTTGCAATACAATTTGTGATCACTTTAAATGATATACATAACGTGCATCTTTTTAAAAAAGAAATATTTTAGGAACTTATTGAGATAATTTAAAAACTTTGCTTATAGTAGGTTTTATTCGTTTAAATAAATGTTTCGCATAAATTTTATATTTAAGTATAATNTTCTTGAAAACCATCATATTTTTCAAAATATTTTTTAATTTACATGTTATTGTGGAAAGAGGTATTATGAATTAGCATATTCAAGATAACCCCCTCTAACCATTAAAATTGCAACATCATAATCTGATCATTTGAACAAAAATTAAGGTGCCCTGTTTGTTTATTTTGCAAACTACATGTATATTGGAAATTCTATGTATGATGGAGACATATAAAAAACCTTTTTTTAAAAAAAAATATCTTCATGCAGTCTAAAAAAACTTTAAAAACTCATGTCAACATCAAGATTTTTTATTTATTTATTTATTTTGGTCTTGTAAATCAGTGTTCCCCAAGCCCCGGTCCACGGACCGGTACCGGTCCGTGGATCAAATGATACCGGGCCGCCCATTTCATTGAAAATAAATATAAGATCCTAGGTTTATACCCCAAATTAAAAATATATGTGTTCCATTGAAATTTTATTTATTTAAAAAAAGGGACCCCGAAGGTAGTGACATAAATTTTTTAATGTTTTAAAAAGTAAGAAGAACAACACCAAATTAGTATTCACCGAATTCTTTAGATTAGTTTAAAAAAAAAAGAATATCAATCCTCATAACTGCAAATATCATAAATAAAACACGAAAGCGAGGCGTGAAATTTACATGGGAACTAGTGAAGAACAGTAACAGCAACCAAAACAAAGCAACGGAGTAAATTGGACATAAGCAACACACTTCGGGTGTTATTGTCTCCGATTACCCCCAAATGGAATCGTCTCATTGCAAAAAACAAGCTCAGGGTTCTCATAGTTTTAACGTTCTCGTAAGTTAAAATGTTAAATCACTTTATATTTTTGTTGTTGATGTAACTGTATTTTATTTTGAAGGCATGTTTAAATACAATTAAATTAAAATAAATAAATCAAAATAGTCTAAAATATGAACATTTAACTCCCCCCCCCAGTGGACCGCGGTAAAATTATCAAACGTTGACAGGTCCGCGGTGATAAAAAGGTTGGGGAGCACTGGCCTAAAGGACAATGGGCATCCAATGTGTTGTCATATTTCTTTTTTTACTGGTTAGGAACTATGCAAGTTGAAAATGTTTAAAAAACCACACAGTTTTGCATTCACGTTTTTTTTTAAAAATCATACTAGTTGTAAGCAGTTTCAAAACTGTAAAGGTAAAATAAATGTTCTTTACCTTCAATTTTGTATGAACAGACAGGTTATTTTACAATAGTTTTAGAACGAAAATTCTAACCGTGTAATGCTATCTTATGTTGCTTTCTATTTATTTTGATTTTTCTAAGTTCAATATCTTTAGTGTTCAATATCTGCGTCTCTTAGACTTGACTGTAATCAGATTATTTGTGGATTACAGTATACAGAGGTGGCACCAAAGTTAGACCAGAAAGCAAAACTTTTTATTTTTGATCCAACGAGTATATACTCAATCATAGAAACTAGTTATGACGAATTTTCATGTTTATCTGAGGGGTTACAATAAAAAAGTGACTGAATAAGGACTTCTGAAAAACTACTGTATGCAATTTGTCCAAATTTTACACTTAAGTATGAATATAAACTGAGTTATATTCATTTTAATTTTTTTACTGTACATAATATATACTTTTTTTCTCTGGAAGAACTCTTTAAAAATATCTTATTTATATTTATCTAGATTATTTAGAAAACGTATTGTCTAAAATTCAGTATGCTATTGGTGCTGTGAGGCAACTTAAACTCAGTCAAATTGTTTTAAAGAAGATTTTATAATGGAAACGATGTAAAACATATTCAATATTATCCCCTAAAAAATCATTTATCACTAAAAAATTGATTTTAGTTTTTAGAATGTAAATAGCGCGCATAAAAATGTGTACTTCTAATAGGATGATGGTTTAAGAAAAAAATGATAGCAGTTTTCTTTATAATACGACTTATTGTAGCCTAAAAATTAAAAAGCACAACTTTCAACTTTTTTTTAAAACCAATCCCATTTCTCTGGATCGCGGGTTCGCAGTGGCTCAGGGGATAGAGAGTTCGACTCTTAATGAGGTGAACCGGGTTCGAATCAAAGCGACGGCTGGTAGGTACGAATTTCGAAACCGGCTTACACTGTCCTCTTACTTTTTGATTTTAAGGTGTTTAAGTTTATTACTCACTAATGCTAATTTTTTTTGTTTCCAAATCTTAGTAATAATAATTATTTTAAACTTTTTTATTTAAACACATATATTTAATTTTATAACTGTATAGTATTATCCTTCCGATAGAAATATTATATAATATAGAAATATTCCGATATAGATTAGCTTAGTCTGAAATCTTTGGTCTGACAATGTTTAACAGTGAAAAACATTTCTTTTAGGCTTAAAAATTTAAATAAAATTGATTGGAAATAAAAAATCCATTTTAATTTTCAATTAATCATGCCAAATGAATGTAAAAACTAGTTTTAACTTTTTAATGTGAATAATCGTTAATTTTTTTGTGCTGTCATCGTGTCTTCAACAGCGCCATATAATTGAATTATTTTTTTTCAAATTTATTTTTTCCTCAAAAATATATTACTACTGACCTGTAAATTATTTTAACTTAGAGAAAATTATAAAAGTTAAAATTCGCTTCATTCTGGTAAAAAAACAAACTTATAAATGAAATTTATTGGCTATCTGTAGAACGTTTTATTTCCTACACAATCTCAGAAATAAAACTCTCACTTTTGACAACTCAGCAATCCCTGAGCCAAATTTCGTTAGTTTTGAAAATTATTTCTTCCGAAATTGTGTGATTTGTGACGAAACGTGAACTCTCAAGTGGACGAATATGACCAGAAAATGGTTTCGTCAAAAACGAAGAAAGTTTTGTAAAATTTGAGTATCCATTTCTAACAGTGCACAACGATTATAAAAAATAGCAAATAAGTGCACGATTTGATTTTATCACAAATGCTTATATATTTCGATAAAAACTAAGTGAGAAAAAAGCATATTTTCAATTTTATTTTGATAGTACATGCAATACTTAACATTTTAATTACGGATTCACCACGAAACTCAATTTTGTCAAAACTGACAAATGCTCTAAAACGCAACCGGCTGGTCGCTGGTTTTGGTTACTTTTTCTATAATTAATATTTAATTTTCAAATACGTAATATAAGTTATCAAATACATAATTTTTTAATACGTTTGGCTGTGACTTCTTTGTTCTCCACTAATTTCAATTTTTGTTTTATTTTTAGTATGTTGTTATCTTTCTTTTGAACTTATGTCAAGATAACGTGATAAGATGCGTTTTAAAAAGTAAAGGTAAAAGTTTCTCTTTGTAACACGTAATAATCTCTTCGTAATTGTTATCACTGTAATTGAAAATTATATTGTTCATATCACATAGAACTATTAATGAGAATATCAAATATAATCAATCTTTGATCAAATTTTTGGATAATTTTTAACTAAACCAATTCATATTTTCAAAAAAGGTTGTTATCTAGTTTTGAGCTTATAACATGATTTTGTGTAAGAAAGAAAAATGACAGGTTCATTTTGTAACATTTTCATGTCTATTTAATTATAATTTTTGTCCTGATTTTATTATCATGTAAATTGAAAGGTATATTGTTCAATTTTCATCTTACTTTGAAACTAACTAAATGCTTTTACTTATATGTAATTGAATTTTTAAGAAATTTTTAAGTACCTAATATTTGGCTATAAATACTATGTTTTTTTAATATGAAAATTTTATTCTTAGAACTTTATCAGTTTTTGAGGTGATTTGTTTGACGCAGTTGTTTCAATGCGAATAAATTACTCAGTTCATAGACAAAATAATTTTATATCCACGACATCTTTAAAATTGAATTTTTCAAGAACCACTCAATTGATTTCGTGCAAATTTTGTGCTTTGCCATAAAATGTACATTTTTGAAAAGATGTAATGTTTGCGCAGTTAAATTCAAATTTTTTTCGAATAAAAAAAAAAATAATTGTGAAAATTATTTTTTGTTTGGCATTATCTTAGGATAAAAGAAGTTTATAATTGTGTGTACAAGTTTCTAGATGTTCTTAAAAATTTCTTGAGATATCGCGAAATACGCAAAAAGTAAAATTCATATTAAGTGGTTCAAACTTTGGCCAGCTCTCCTACTAAACTATTGAGACTATAATTCCTAGATTTCGGCTACTCCACATATTTTGAGGGCATGGGATCCAAATCTATCAAAAAAAAGTGTGTTTATGCAAAGAAAATACATTTTTGCGTCTAATTTAATAACTTAAAATATTGTCGGCCCTTTTTAATTGGCTTATTTGAGGTTACCTCTTTAACCTATTTAAATTGAGTCCTAGTATGAGAAATTTCGATCCTTAGATGAAGAATTTAATTAGGGCGTTAAATATTTTGAACTGAGCATATTAACATAAAAACATACACAGAATAGAATTTATTTTTGAAAAATGTTAGGTTAGTTTTTAATTTTACTTCTTTCTAGAACATTACGACGACATGCGTTTCTAAGACACATACCACATAGTAGCTTCCACTTTATATTTTTTAGATTAGTAATACATCAATAACAATATATTTTGCACTAAGAAGATAGCTTAATAAGATAAGATGTGTCAATAAGAGTCAAAATAATTTTTTAAAAATTTTTATTCTTTTTTAAATATACAGTTCTGTAGACAAGCCAGTAGAATAAACAAAATATTGCATTTTCTTAGTATTTGTAAACTTCACAATGTAGTTTTAACATAAAAATTAAATAATAATTGTACCCTTTTAAATATATTGAGTACAAACTTAATATGTAAATGAATATACCTAAATTTAAAGCTATATACTACCGCAAGTTCTCGTTATTAGTTACTAGAGCTTACATTTATTGATGTTCAGTACAATATATAAAATGCTGTATTGAAAATTGTGTATTTATTTGAAGTTTGTAATTCTGTTTTATTATTCAAAAATATTGGTTTTACCGGCATCCAGTGCTTATAAATTTATAAAACATTATTCCAATAAATGAAATTTACCACTTTTTCTCGTCAGATTCGATTTAGAGCTTTAATTTTTAAACTTTTTTACCCCAATACCACATCTCAGGTGATAAAAGTGTGATGTTTTTTTAATTATTTTTTGCATTTGATAGTTATTGTAGTTATGATATTGTAGTTTTGATAGTTATGATAGCTATCTTAAGGGAATTTCTTTCTAAAGCTTTAAGTTTTTGTCATAAATTACTTTCTTCCCGTTCAGCTTTACTACAAAAAAACTAACGCATCATACTTATTGATTTTAAAATTTTCACTGTTATGGATTGTTATACTATAGCATAATATATATATATATNTATTGTAATTGTCTCATACTCCAATTAATTTTGTGGTACTTACTTTCACGTACTATATAATGCATATTTATTCTCAAAATTGATTTTGAAAATTTTATATATCTGTAGTTTTTCAAAAAAAACCTGTTAGGTTAATTTAAAAAAAAAAATTGACATCAAATTTTTTAACTTTTTTTTCTTCAAAAATTTTCAAAATTAGTTGGAGTATGTAATTGCAAATCAATCAATTAATAATTAATTAATTAATTTGCTAATTGATTTATTAATTAGAAAATTAATTAACCAATTAATTACAAATTAATTAGAGTATGAGACAATTACAATAACTAATAGTCTGCATTGAAGTAATAAAATATCGATTTTTCTATATATTGAATTATTTTTTATCTCTCACAGGACCTTCTATGGGCCGAAACGAATGTTGCCCCTTAAAATTATTTCTCATAAGGCATACATCCCACTAGTTTATTTTAAAATTGGCGAGTCACACTTCCCTAGCTTCCCTTGTAAGTCAAAGTGTTTATATAAGCAGATGAATTATATTTATTCAAGAAGCTGAGATACTATTTCTTTTGAATTTAAAAAAATTAAACTGATCAAAAAACATTTTATAATAATTCGGTATTCAAAAAGAAAACAAATTACTATGAAATCAAAATAAATAAAAATTAAAATAAGTAAAAATTGAAATAAATAAAAATTAAAATAAATGAAAATTGATATAAATAAAAATTGAAATAAATGAAAATTAAATAAATAAAATAAATAAATAATAAGTATAGCAGCTGTTTTTGATCAGTATTGCTTAAGGAAGTTTTAGAATAATAACTAGGAAGAATATAATAACTTAGGAGGCTAACCTCTCTGCTCGCAGCCACTCACCAACCTCGACGATTGCTTTGCAATTATGTTGTGTCGTATAGCATGAAACAGATTTATCTACGAAAGTTGAAATTATTCATTAAAATAAATGCAAGATAAAAAATTCCGTTTGTTTACATTTGCGCCCTTCTTCCTCGTACATTAAATATAAGTCGTACATGTATTACACTATGCATGAAGCTGTCCGTAAGTTCTCAAGTGTCGAATCTCATTAACGGCAATAATAATAAGAGTGATGATAAGGTTATATCATAGAATTACTTTATAATTAGGAAACAACTCTTTTAACTTCAAACTCTTTGAGAACAATCAAAATTAAAAAGGTACCAATAGCAGAGTAAGATAGGAAAAAAATATTACTTTTAAATTTGGGTTAAAAAAATAGTTCACAAAAAAGATACCTTTACGATTTTTATTAGTCTCAAGTTCATATCAACCAAATAATATCGAAATAGATGATGGAAATGCCCACCATGTGATTTTGCGAACCATAAATACGTACCGACAACAATGGAAAACTGGGTTTAGATATAGAAACATATTAGATTCTCTAGAGCAGTAAAAAAAATGGTTTTGTAAAAATAGCAGACGATGGACTACTCTACATTGCTCAACTGTAGGCAGTTGATGTAAAATTTTATAAAGCAAATACTAAATGCTGAAATCTGATGGTTTCACTTCCTCAATTGAAGCAATGACTTCTGATTGTTGGTCCATTACATTTTTGAAATGAATCAACGGAATCGAGTATGGCGAATCTTCTTCCTGATATAGATGAAAGGAAGATTCATAAATGTTCAAAACATTGAAAATTATTCTGACAAGTACCGGTGCTTGAGAAAGAAAATGTTGTGGAACATCAAATTTCTTTTTTCTCACAATTTTGTGTGCGTCCAGATCTAGAGGGTATTCCTGAGATATAAGTCTGTGAAGAAAAAAAAGTAAAAATATTTTAGAAAAATGAACAAAAAGATAATTTTAAAGATATCATTATAAGTAAATAGCTAAGTAAGATAAACCTAAATACTACATGTTGTCTCAAAATACATAAAAACAGAAGATAAACATATGAGATAAAAGAGTTTTTAAGTAAAAGAAAAAATTGAAAATTTAAAAATTACTGAAAATTTAATTAAAAATCATGAGTAGGTATAAACTCCTTGTCATCTTATACGGTTATATCTTTAAAAATAAATCAATGCAATAGTGTTTGCAGAAGATAGTATAATTGTTGTTAGCTTTATCTATGGAGATTACTGCAAAATTCTTTCGAAATTGCTTAACAGTAGTTTAGTTTGACAGTTAGATGCATAAAGTAGTCTGATAAAATTTATTAGTTGGATGCATAAAGTATAGATGATGAAATTTATTAGTTGGATACATTAGTTAGATGCGTAAAGTATTCTGATAAAATTTATTTTGGAATAAATGTGAAACAAATATTTTAAAATACTAAATAGAATCGGCATAAATAGAATAGATATTAAAAAACTACAAGATCCTATTAAGCCTGTCTTTTCCTGCGGTTCTGTTATCTTTCACAAAATAAATTATTAAATAAATTACAAAATAAATTAGGTTGAAAATATTTTATTGTTTAAGTTCTTAGATACTTTTTGCATTTAAAATAATTTTTAAAGAGGGAAAAAAATGACTCTCTAAAAATTGGAAAAAGAGAAAAAATAAAAATAAAAATTATGAACACAAAAAATTACTATGTTTTTATAAAAAGCAAGTTTTGCTATCAAACACTTTAAAGTCATACCTAATAAGCAGATACAGAGTAGTTTTTAATTGGAATGAAAACAAAAGAAAATACCTTTTCGTTAAGAAACTTGCAACAGCATTTTGTAGAGAAGCTTTCAAAACACTTTTTGTTATTTTGTTTCTTGGTAAATTAAAAGTCATACCGGTGATTAATGAAAACAGTACAAAACACACCACATCATCACTAAGCTCTAAAGAGTATTCTTGAAGTTGAGAGATCACTTCTTCTTCTACAGATTGGTGGGAAATTTCATTCTCAATCTTACATTTAAGACTCTGCGGCAATTTCTGAACAAGGCAATTAAACAATGCACGTTCATCATTGATGTTGGCAACCATATCAATTAAAAACTTTTTATCTAACATTGTTTCAGCAACAGTTAAAGCTACATTGCACAAACTGCATCCAAACTTGTAACCTGGACCTATAAGCAACTGTCCAATGGATTCCATTATATCAAAGACAGACATTATTGATCTAGCAATTAAAAAACGTTGATGAGTTTTGTTTAGCTTTTGTATGTAAGCTTTTGACTCATCTAATAAATGAAGTCTTCGTGATTTCCACATATCGAATGCATTTAAAAACATTATATACTGTTCGTTGGGTACCTCACACAGTTGTGTTTCAAAAGAAACATTTGGGTAACAATACGTTCCTAGGTATATGAAATAAAGTGTCAACATCCTCAGACTTGACCTATTACTTCGCTTCATTGATTGCCGATTCAATAGTTTAGTTAATCTGTCAGTATTGAAGCTAGATTTAGTATTGTAAGGAAACATAGTAACTAATTCATGAGTCGTCTTCAACCGACCGCGCAATCCATTGAATATTAACAAATAAAAAACTAGCCTGTTTATCTTCATACTAATGTTATTGTTTTTTCTGGAGTCAACACATTTTGTATTTGTTGCTGAAGCATTTACTGTAGCTTTTGGCACTTTGTTAGGAAACATTAGACTTGTATTCGTATCATTTTATATTTCGTGCATTTCTTTGTAGTTAAGCAATTCCTTCATGAACTTTTTTAGTAGTATCTACAAGCAAAAATATATCAAATTGTGGAAATTAATTGCAATTCAAAAAGGTATTTGGTGTTAGTATTTACACTCTAAAAACTATTTATATAAAATTGTGAAAAGTTGAGTTAGATAAATTTTTTGTCGTCTTTCTTACATTAAAAGTTACATTCAATTTTATAAAATGTAACAGTCATGATTTTGTTTTAATCCTACAATCTTTAAAACCTGTTATGTAACCTATTAGGAAACTGGAACAAGAATAACAAGAAATCTATATCAGATCAGTATTAAATATAAGTTTTCATAATTAAAAATGAAAAAAAAAAGGCTATAAATACGATTATGGAGTCGTTTTTTTTTCATCAATCAAAACAGAGACAAAAACATTGACATTTAAAATGATTGGAAACAATTAAAAAAAATAATAAAATGCAGTGAAATTTGAAATATTTTTTAAAGGATAGGCTAAAGTACTTGATTGAAATTTTTAATTTTAGTATACAATTTAAAACTCGTAATAGAATACCAGTCACAAAAAATTATATCAATATAAAAATGCATAAAATATTCGAAATGCTTATAATTATAATTTTTTTCCTGCATTTTTTGACTTTCGAATTTTATACAGTTATTGGAGAACTACATAAAAAAAACTTTCTGTCACATTTTATAAATATTTCGTCTGAAAGATTTTGTTGAATTACCTGAAAGAATAGCCAAAAATTCCAGAAACGCTACTTATAGCAATGCTAAATAATCTTACATACTTGATACAATTTTTTTGAAATCCCCTTAATACTATTCGATAGCAATTCGCTGCAATTTCAACATAGTTGTGAAACATTCAGTTCTATTATTTTTAATAAGGTATAAATTTAGTGCAATTTTAATGATTACCACTTAATACAGTTTCAGGATGCAAAACGCAATGGATTTGAAGTATTCAGTTTATAGTTTTTAGATTATTTCTAAATATTAATAAAATATTGTGTCATATCTTATGAATTACCAGTGAAAATTGCTTAAAATGATTCAAACCAAAATGAAAAAAACCGAAAATATAAGACCGAATCGAAATGCAAACACCGATGAAAGAAATTATTTGCAACTAAAATTGTTGAGTAAAATTAAATCTTAAATGATTAATTCAAACATATATTCATTTGATATAGTTTATATACAGTTTTGTTTTGAGTATTAATTTAAGTTTTTGATTCCATCTTTATCATAAAATTTAAGTAGATAACTTTGTAAGAATCCTGATTGAAGTTAGGCCCCGAATTTAATGATTTTGTCTAATTTTGCACGAAGTATAATCCTATACTTCTTCAAGATAGAAATAAAAACACAAATAATTAAACCCTTTGACGCAGATGGGACAGCGTGGTGTACTCATAAATATATTTTTTTCGGACGCTCTAATTGCAAGCACGATAGATTTTGGTATTTTTTTAATTATTTTTTTCCAATGCCAACTCGATTGACATTCGTCATTCAAATGTCAGTAGGACAGATTTGTTTGCCATTCTTTCCAGGCTCCCATATTAAATGGGCCAAAGTTGTTCAAAGTGTAAAGGCCTGGTTTCTTAGGACAAGTGCCTTTTCTGGGCGTCAGCGTTAAGTTGACGTTACCCTGACGCCAACAAAATACTGGTTTGTTAACTCAAGGCCTGTATCTTAAGAGAAGCGTCTTAACCGGGAGTCAGCTTTAAGTTGATATAATTTTGACGCCATAAAAATACCGTTTTGTTAGCTCAGCGTGAGCAGTCGGTCCAATGCAGAAATTATCTCGCATTGCACATGCGTTAATAACGTAAACAAATATTTATTTTGAATTTGTATTGATTTTGTGATTGTTGACCAGTGATTTAAGGAACAAATAATAACTTTGTCCAAGAAAAAACACATTATAGCTTAGCTAAATGAAGAAGAAGAGGAAAAGGAAGCTATGCTTAATGTTAAAATTAAAATCTTGGCTGATTTCAGTGCTCTGTTGTTGGCTGTTGTCCGCCATTGCTTCTGTTGTTAACGTCACGTTGTAATCCAACTGCAGTTGATTTGGACGGCAGTTGTCGTTCAATCTGAGCGTTCCATGACGTATGCTGTCAAACTCATAAATTGACCAATCAGAGGTAAACGTTCGTTTCAAGCTAACGCCGACGTTTCCTAAGAAACCAGGCCTTGGAAAACAAACACAGAGTACACAGAATGAAAGAACGTCCATGCCTCGTCCGGGATTCGAATACAGCGCTTTTTTATGTGAGATTAGCTACCTGAACACTACACAGTCCGGTTAGCATTTTTTAATAATAAAAAGCAGTTAATAGTAGTAACTAAAAAAATCTATTAAATAAACAGAGTTATTTTTCTACTATAACAAAAATAAGTATTCTGAAAAATATTCATTCATATTCAAAAATTTATAAACAATTGATTTTGTAAATTAAAGAAATTTGAATAATAAATAACTGTTTCTTTAGATCTAAATGACTGCAAATAAGTGCAAATTTGAAAAACTATTGTTTGGGAATGAGCCGTGTTTGGAGGATTATACGTTTAACGCAGAAAAAGACAGCGTTGTTTCAGGCTGTGTTCCATAACTATAAACTATTAAAGCCCCAAATATAATATTTTTCATTTATTTTGACCTAAATTAATACAAAATAATGATAAAAGTATGATAAATATGTTTGATAAAAATGATGTGCCAAAGCATTAATTTTTATTTCATACCCGTCGTTGAACATCAGACAAAATTTTGAGTTTACGACAATCAATTTTCAACTCCGTAGCCTTATAATTTTAAATCCAATCAAAAAAGTAAAGGGTTAACTCCTGGAGTAAATATTGGGAAAAAGGTGCGGTCTTGGAGGACCTTTTAATGGATGTAACAGCTTTTACGTTACATGGGGGGGGACCACAGAAACCTCCCACGGTTAGCATGATCCACGACTACTGAGGATAATTTACGTCAGCACTGTGGTCGTGGCAAGCCGGGTGTGGAAATCGTATCGACCAGCCATCGCTGGTACTCGAACACGGGTGACCTGATTGGGAGTAGAACGTTCTGCCTCCTGAGTTTCCACAGCTCTGCTTTAAAGGGTTAACCTAAAAGTAATTATTAAAAATCACAATTTTTTACGTTTAGATTCATTTTTAAGCATTAAAAAGGAACGTTTAGTATCAGGTCTAGATACGTTTATTTTCTTAAACGTGATTTTTGATCTTGATCAAGTACTTAAAACGTGCATTTCAACCTTGTTCATTTTTTAAAAAAGCGCATTTTGCGATGCAACCAAAATACCTATGTTACGAAATACCAATGTTCACCAATGTCATTACGGCCTTAAGAACTATAGAAAGAGAGGAGAGAATTTTAAACATAATACTTACCACAGCTTCCTCTTTCCAGAAAGTTAAATAAAACAGATAAAGATTTTCTAATATTTATTTGTTTTATCTTTTTCATCGAGTGGTTTTAATGGACTTCGCACGATTAAGCGCAAGGCAAATTTGACGGTAGCGGTAGGTTTCACTGGTATCGGAAGGAAAGATAACACAAGTTAGAACTTGCTGCATTTTTCAAAATCACACTATATATTTATCTTTATTTAAAAATAATATGACTCATCATTTTTTTATTGTTTTGTTCATTTTTGTCACTTTGTAATTGTGTCAATGGTTTTCTTCTGAGGATATTTAACTGATAGCATCTCGTGTTATTTTGCATTCCAATAAATATGATATTTTTATAGAAAATTTTCATAGAAAGTTTTATAAAAATAAATTATTAATTTCTTTTATAGTAAATATGTTAAAAGTTTAAAATAAAATTTTTTATAAGGAATAACCACTTAATTTTCAGTTATAATTTTTTCTTTTTGCGTTTGATATTTCGATATCGGAAAATGAGATATTATTTCTTATATATTTTTATACATTATTTTCAATAAATTCAAAAATAAGCAGCTGGAATTAAGAGTTTGGAAGGTAGAATGGTTTTATGTGAAAAGAAGTACACGTTGAAAATTATACTTCTATTATTTGAAACTTCATAAATTCTAAACTCTGAGTCTCATCGACTTTGTTTTCATCTCATTTCATTTAGACCAAAAACTGTACATACTTCACGATACTTTTATACTTCAATACTTCTATATTCAATACTTCTATAGTTTTTCTTAGCATGAAATATGAAAGTATGTATAAATACAAAACTATACTTTTTACAGACAAAAGCTAAAATTTTAGTTGAATTATTAGTCCCACCGACTTTGTTTTGATCTACTTTTCAATGTTTAAAATTAAGCAGTAATAAATCCTCGTTTGTCTTGAGTAGGTAATTGTGACGAGAAAATTGGTATAAAAAAGTTCTACGTTGTTATACTACATACTTACTAAATCCTTCATAATTTCTAAGCTATTAGTCTTATTAACTTTAATTAAGTTTCATTCCATTCTGCATTAATATACAAAAAACATCACGTCACTTGTCTTCATAGTAAATTTTAAGCTTCCCTCCTTCAAACCCTTCTCTCTTATTAAATTTAAGCTTACTTTGGGGAAGATTAAAATTTCATCAAGTATCCATATTTGTGCCAAATCTCAGTTTTTGAATCACTATCCAGCTTTATTCTGATTGTTTCTGTTGAATTCCAAGCGTAACAGAGGGGGAGTCGCACAAATATTTTATTCTGAAAAATATATTAAATATTTTTGAAAACAAAAATTCTACTAGAATATGCTATACTTTAGGATGCAATGTTGAATTAATTGGCATAAAATAATAAAAGAGCCTCATAGTTAAATTGCAAGTTCATTAAAAGTACTTGTAACAAAGGAGACAAATAAAATCCCACGTTTTTGACATGCACTGTTATTTATGCTAAATTATGTAATTTGAACCATCCTAAACATTATCTGTAATTTTTTTAAGAATTATTGCAGTTCAAGGCAAAATAAATTATTATAAGGCTTTTAAAATTCCGACCCCCTTTTTTTAAGTCCAAAAATAATGCATCGTAACCGATAGGACATGGAATGTAACAGAGAATGTCTTACGAATTTGACAAAAAGTTAAAGGGAAATACAGTTAAAAGTGACTCTTCGGGTATTTAAAATTGGAGTTAGCAGCACTGCTGTATTTGAAATCCGTGCTACATCTTTGTAGTTATATTGGAAAGTTTTTATTTTACCAGACCCTGTTTTAAAAAAAAATTGCATTGTTTGTTTCTTTCTCAATTTCAGTTAATTGGGCAACTAGATTAACTGCCCAATTTTTTCCTAGAACTTTTTACACTTGCAAAATTGTCTATAGCGACATCAAAAGAATCCCAGTGTTTTAAATGGCGACTGGTGTACATTATATATGTCAGGTCCCAAAGACCCCAAAGCAAATCAAAACCTCTGAGGGTACTGATCGAGGAGTTCCCATGTCTTTTGGATTGGGTTCAAAATTACAAGGCTACGGAGTTGAACATTGGTAGCAATAAACTCAAATTTGGGTCGGCTGTTAAACGACGATTATAAAATAAAAAGTCAATTGAGTGATTGTCGCAAGTCGCTATATTTTGTAATTATTAGGCAAACAACTGTGATTTTAATAGAAAATTCACATTTTCGTTAATAGCTCATACACATTTTATATGGTGTTTTACCAACGCATAAAATATGGATAGGTCGTAGAACAGCGAAACGTAGATTTGACAATTTTTATGTTTGGATGCATCTGCTTTGATACTTGATATGCTTCCAACAAGATGTACATTTGGCTTTGTGAACTTTCTGTCCATTTTTTTTGATAATCATGCACTCAGCTCTACCAGAAGTCTGGTAAGAAAGTTTATCAGATGAGTAGAAATTTATTACTAGTTTTTTTTTGTTTCATCAGAAACTTTGCTACTAGGTTATTTCCTTTGTTCTGGTAGCAAGGTTACAGAGTATGCATAGAACAGTACAACGTTTTCTTGGAGACACAGGTAATGCACGGTTTGCTTTTTTAATAACTTTCCCCATTGCCTAAGGAATATTATAAAGAGAATATCCTTCCTGAATTTCCACTGCTTGTATCAGTGCCTTTTTATTTTTCCTTTGTCTTCTTTTTTTCAATTTATCAATTTCTCTGTTAAGTTTTTTTTTCCAAAATGTTTCTGTTATCATAAACTTTCGTTTTATGATAACAGAAACGTTTCTTCTAATAAATACCTTCTTTTTCCTGAACCATTCTATTTCTATATTCTCTCACTCTTTCTGCTGCTGTTTTCCCCGTATTGATTACTCACTTAAAAAACTTTTAACTGTAAACTAAACACACTATTAATAAAAATGGCACAGCTTTGTATAAAAAGAGTGCTATAATAGTGGAGGAACTGGCTTAAACTAGTTGAATCAAGATGCATTAACACTTGTATACATTCCTACAGTCTCTTTTTAATGGTCAACCTATCAATTTTGTGTAACTGAGGAGACATTTAGTTACGTCCTCTCTGTTACGTCGCCTCTGTTGTTTGAGAAACTTTAAATTTCTTTTTTCAAAAGTGTAACTTAACATGATTGTACAAATAGACTTTATTGTAAAAACCAAATATTTTAAGTTAAAAATTTTTTGTGCAATGAATAAAATAAACTTAAAAGAATAATTGTAACAGAGGGGACAGCATATATTTAAGATAATTTTTGACTTAATAAAATACGAAAAAATTTTTTTTGACAGTAATCACTGCATAATTGGGCTCAGGAACAATTTATTTTACATTATAAATCAAACCATATGTAAAATCGTAATATTTTTAATAACTTATTCGTCTTTAAAATAGACAGCTTTTTTGATAAAATAAGTCAAAATCATGAATGTTCTCTATTTATGATAAATTTTACCATAATCATGCATAACTCCAAAAAATAACTTTTGAATTCCTTTAAAAGGATACTAAATACAAGGATATTGCTTAAACTTTAAAAATTCACTACTGGTTTCAGTTGGCATGGATTTCAACTTCTGTATTTAACTTCTTAGGAACTGCCATATGTGGGAGACCTTTTAATTTAAAAGAAAAATGGAAGGATTTGTAATTAAAAGAAATTTTACGCTTATAGGAATTCATTTTTTATTGCAGTTGCTTTACATGAGATATTTTAAGTATTGCATCAGAATAAGAGCCTTCTAACGCTTAAAAAAATCCTGCATAATTTAACGTCAGTATTTTCAGAATTTTGAAATTATGGGCAAAAATAATTTGATTTTAGCATTTTGGTTTAATATTTCCTTTTTTTTAAAATCATATACAGTTTTATTGCATTGTAGTGATATGTGAAATAAAAGTGAATAAATTTCACCCCCTCTCGTCGATTAATTAAATTTCTCAAATTAAATTATTCTATTTTTATTTTTTAAAGTTTTTACCAATCACTTTAAAATACCTCATCTGAATAATAATTCCCGCAGTTTCTGACACAAAGTCAAATTTAATAAAGAACTTGACATGAAAAAATATGTTTCTTATGCATGTAAGTTAAGGGATACACTTGTGCTAAATTATTTTACTGTGAAGTTTTCTGCGACTTTAATTTTACATATCTTGATATCATGCACATTTGAAAAGATTACCTTAAAAATATAAATCAAATCTCGTATAAGGAGGTTTTTGCCTTACAACGCGTTTGGATAAAATGAGCCCTTTCAGACACACTGTAAAGGAATTATTTTCCATCGATTTGACTTAAATTTAACAGCATGATTTCTAATAGTTTTTATTATTCATATGGTTTTTCTTGTAGTTTTGATTATTCATATAGTTTTTCTTGTAGTTTTGATTATACATATAAAATCATCGAATTGATTATAAAAGGAATTTATTGTATTTGTGAGTAAAGGGTTTCTTGTTTTGAAAAGAACTTTTTGAAATTTTTTAAATCTCATACAAATAAGAAGAAAAGAAAAATATTTTGCCTTGAAACGCATTCAGATAAAATTAGTCTTAAAAACTGTAATTTTCAAATGATATGATATACTGTTTAATAGTATGATTTTTTTTTTGCTTCTGTAGTTTTTATTTCCCTTAAAAATCGTTAAAGGTAATTGCAGTTGCGAGTTTGAGAAGATTTGTTTTTAAATATACTTTTTAACAGTTTGTGAAAGATTATTTCATTCAATACTTAATGCGAAAATCCCCATACTTTTATCATTTACATAAATTTTAATTTTATTTTAGAACTAGGTTTTACTTGTCCATCATGTTGAATTTTATAAGAATAAAAAGAAAGATTGTTTAGAGAATTTTTCCGTGGGATTCCCACAAATTGCATTTAATGCTCTTGTATTTATGACATGCCATTGGTTGCAATGGAGCTTTTGCGTTCATGACATGCAATTGGTTACTTTTATACTTTTGAGTTACTCAATACTTTTGAGTTTATTACATGACATCGTTTGTGATAAGTACTCCTGTGTTGTGGCTTGCCATTGGTTTCAATAAGTACTTTTGAGTTTATTACATGACATCGTTTGTGATAAGTACTCTTGTGTTATGGCATG